ACCTACCTTTTACATTGTCACAACTTACCGAACTCTCCATACAATCTATACTCTCTCTCTCTTGATTTCATCAACCTCATACGTACTGTTCCAATCATCCAACACAAAACCAAACCAAACCAAACCAAACCAAACGATAATATAAAAAATAACAAAATAAATATCAAAAAATAAACCCAACAAAATTGAACAAAAAATCATCAAAATTATCAACATCTAACCAAGCAGTCTTTATGGTTGGCGTTTCCCGCTACCTTATTGCAGTGGACAGCTGGTTAAGGAGCCGCCGCCATCACCGTTGCCACTGCCGCCGCCAGTTAAGCTCGGCGGCTCACCAGTGACATCTCCATTGTACGTACATCAATCGTATTTTGTTTTGATTTTCTGCTTAGCACTCTAGCTCTCTAGTACTGTATGCCTCCAGCTCTATGCTCTATGCTCGCTCTATCACACACATCGTTATGCGTTTACGTTTTCCAACTTAATCATAAATGCACTGTACATATACCACTACGTGTAGTATGTAGCTTTTTGTCTTTAAGCTTTAAGTTGTAGCATTTAGCTTTTTGTCTGCCGACGACTGCCGAGGCAGCTTTGTCGTTCTGATCTCCTTTGCTTTTATCTTTTGCCTTTCTATTTGGCTTAAGCTGTAGCATTTAGCTTCTGTCTGCCTGCTGGTTAGTGGCAGCTAGGCTGCTTGAGTGCATAGCAAACAGCTTTGGCTTGCTCTGGCCAGCCTGGCTGCTTTGCTGCCCCACTCTCTTTCTCGCTCTCTTAGCTTATTTCTCATACTAATCGCGACTTTCGCATTCACAGGGACGAAAAGGAGCCTCTGCGCACGCCCACCGGCAGCCTGAAACAGAATTCAACCATTGAGTTCGATGGACGTTTCGTGCACTCGCGCAGCGGCGAAATCATTGGCAAAAACTCGGCTGTCTAAGCGCGATGAAATGGTGAAACGGGATGAAAGAGCAGAGATGATGTGCACAAAACTTGCAACTGAGAAAAGTATTGAACAAATAAACAACAAATAATAGAGAAGAAGAAGCAGCAGCAACTCAACACATAACTCACCTATATATATATGCCTACAATATATATGTATTTACCTGTCGTCTATCCCACACACACATATAGGAAAGCAGACAAAAATTTGAAGCCAAAGTTGTGGGAACATCTTTTTATTGTATGATTCTACGAGTTGATGTTTAGTTTCCTTAAGTTCTATCTTAACTAAATGTCTTACCTATATATACACACACAAACATATATATATATATATATACGATATCTGAATAGTATTTTAAGCTCTGTACACATTGCATAACATTCATCGCATACGATCATGTTGCTTCAACTTAGCATATTCATTCACTTGCTGCAATTAGCTTAAATTCTTTTTCAGACTGGACAACAATTGAGAGATCACATACACACACACACACACATACATTTTTAGCTTAAGAAACTTAAATTAATGCCTTACAAAAAGAAAATGAGAAAAACAAAAATCTAACATTAGTTTAACTAACTTAAACATGCCATAAATAAGTTTAAACATTAAGTTCAAGCATATGCATATACCACACACACACAAGCACATACCGTCATCAAAAATTTCGTAGTACTTAAAACCACTGAAGAAAAGACTTTACTTCAAACATGACAACTTATTGGACAGAAAAGATTTCAATTTTTTTATTTTAATTTTAATTTCTATGCATCGCATGCGTCTTCGTTTCCTATTGGTAAATTCATCTACTTAATAATAAAAATGTACGAATTACATAAATATTGATATATATATACAATTTATATATATGTATGTAATGTATGTTAGTTATATAAACGGAATGCTCAATGTTTGATAATGTTTGATAGTGCTAATAGCAAGTACAGTTTGCGACAAAAGCTAACGGTAGAAGACAGAAGTGCATTGAATGAACTGCTAGCTGGCCAAGTACAGTCGGTAGCAAAAGTTGAACAGCTTAACGAATATCGTTTGGCAGGATCTGAACTGCATAGCAAGTCAATTTGAACTGCTTATTGAAGAGCATCCAGCCGTTGAACTGCTTGATTTAGCAGCACCGAGGCCAACTTTGAACTGCTTGGCTAGTACAGTTGATACAAAAGCTGCATTTTCACACTGCCAACGAAAACTAAAATCAAAAGAGAACAAACAAAAATGGAAAGTGTTACGGAAAAAAGCTAGCAAAAAAAAATACAGATTGAAAATTGAGAATTGCAAATGGAAAAATTAAAATTTTTTAAAATATTAAAAGTTAATGGAAACTCGAAAAAGTTTATAATTGAGAATGGAAACTGGAAAATTTGAATTTCATCAAACGAGAAACAGAAAACTAAAAATTTTAATTATTGAAAAAAAAAAATAATAATAATTTAAACTTTGAAAAAAAATTTTATTTTAAACAAACAATTTGAGATTTGAAAAATGCAAAATGTAAGTTGAAAGAAATTTAAGTTTAAACTAAAATAAAGATGCTGATTTTTTTTTTTTTTAACACAACTCTTCATATTTTCGAATTTCAATTTTTAATATTTGCAAATTTCAATTTTCCATGGAAATTTTTTAGCACTAAAAAATGTCTAAAAATAAAATAAAAACAGTTCAATGAAAAGTTTCAAGAATATATATAAATGTTTAAATGAATGTTCAAGTGAATGTTTCAATGAATGTGTAATAAATATAATAAACAAATAAGAAAAACGAAAACAAGAAAACTTAACAAACTTACTTATGAAAACATTTGATTTAAAAACAGATTTAAACTACGACAATGCCAAAACAATTGGTATTAATTTGTACTCTCTATATTTTACGTATAATTTCCTAAGTTGTTTTTTTTTCATGACATTCGGAAAGGAAGGAGAAGAATGAAGTTAAACAAATGCAAATTATGATATAATATACTCAATTTTTAATAATTTTATAATTTTTATATATAAATATTTTTTTATGTAAAAAATGAAAGAAAAAGTTAAAAATATATAAGTAAGAAACTAATTAAATAAATATTTGCATAAAAAGTATTTAATTTAACATAAACAATTTAAGATGTAAGTAATTTTTTTTACACGAATAAAAACCAAAAAGCTTGAAAGAAAAAAATCAATTTATATACTATATATGTATACAAGAAGGATCTACATAAAACTTTATATATATACAGATATATATATATATATATATTAATTAAAATATAAATAAAATTGAATTTTATGTTAATTTTGGTTTTTTATTTACTTTTGAATTTGTCCCGTTTTGTAGATGTTTTGCCAAAAGCTTTTGTAGCTTCTGTTGCCAGTTAAGCCAAGCGCCTTCTCAGAGCTTTTTTACCTACTATATTTAAAAGAAAAACAAAATCGGAAAAAAAGAAGAATATTAATCTATACAAATATTATACAAGCTAAGACAACTATCTAAAGAGCTACACAGAAACCAAAACTGAATTGTAATTGTAATTTATGTATATGATGTGGACATTTTTATGGGAACTGCATCCGACAGAGCCCAAAGCATATAAAATATGGCGAGCAAATTGACTAAATCAACATGAGATTTATCGAGGGTGTAGCTTTTTTATCAAATATTACAAATGAAAATTCAGAAATACAAAAAAAATAAAATAAATTAAAAAACAAAACCCACGAAACTGAATTGTTGGGAAATAAAGTCGTATTTATCAAAGGAAATGCAAAAATGTCTTTTACTTTGGGTTTTAGATGGAACTTGGGCTTCATAATCTCATATACTCGTAGTATACCAATATCTCAGACCAGAGCAGACTCAACTTTATTTGCCTAGGCTCTTCGAGCTGCCAGCTTATAGTTATTTGCTTGCAATGAGAATCGCAGAGAAGCGCACTGATCTGTTGGCCGATTTCAAATAGTCGATATATAGATGTAAGTATATACTAACCACACTTTGTAAATACATCTATATATCTATATATATACAAGCAAATCTTTCATATATTTTATATATATATATTCATATTTGTTCAGTTTTTCTACAAGGCATTATCGTTGACAAAAATATATTTGGCTAAGCTTAAAGGTAACTCGAATAAAATTTGATTAAAACAATTTTGTTTCATATAATACAGTAGCCAAAAAGAATATATATACAATACATATATACATACTACAAATACATATATATATATACGTCTATAAATATATATTCTAATACACAAAACACTGAGTTGGTAAATTCTTTAGATCGTGATGCTGCGGCTGCGGGTGGCATGCGAGGGGGGGGCAGTTAAACCTCGATGCCCTCGTCGGAGCGCTTGTTCTGGCGCTGCAGCGCCTCCTCGGCATTGAGCTTGGTCTTCTCGGTGCGCGTGTGCCAGACGAGCACGTCGCGACAGTTGTTGGCCAGCGGCTGCAGTTGCTCCCGTGTGGTTAGATAACGTAGAATTTCGCTCTCTTGGTAGCCGCGCTGCACTTCGTACGAAAAGCTGGCCTGCGGATACTTGAAGAACAGATCGATGCTAATGCCAAAGGCGGCCATGTCGATGGGGAACGGTCGCTCTGGCCGCCAGGCGGCATTGAAGCCCGTCACCTGGTTGTTATCGTTGAGCAGCGGCCGCTCGACCATCAGCCCGCCGACGAGGCCAACGGGCCAGATGCCCACCCGGCCGGGCTTTATTTTGGACATCTCAGCAAACAGCTCCACGGAATAGGAGTTGTCGTCGTCCATGAAGAAGACAATGGCATGCCGATCGGCATCGACATTACTGCGCAGCCAGGTCAATGCCAGATTACGCTGCTCAACGCCGCGTGGCTTGATCCAATTGGGATCCTTGCCCTGCAGCTTGAACTCCGGCGGAGTTTTGATATTCAGCTGCGTGAAGCGATTCTCCAGTCCGGCACGCAGCAACACATTTCGCACCAGACTCGTTGTGCTATTCGAATCCTCCACAATGATCCAATGCAAATTGGGCACCAGCATAAACAAATGTGATAGCCTGACAAGAGAAATTGTATATACATTTAATAAATATATATGAATAAGTAAAAGTGCGCTACACTGGTATCTATATGTGGCATATATAATAATTATATTTTTCACATTCGTTCTATCTTTTGAAAAGTGCACGAAATGCTCTAATTGAATCGATCGATTTGCAGAAAGCGCAAAAGTTATCGATAGTAGATGTGATCTATGTGTGCGATAGCAGGACACATACGTGTGCAAGGCTTTAAGAGGCGAACGGGAAAACTGAAAGGCGGCTAGACAGACATACAGATAGATCTATTGAAGTATGAATATACTTACTGATCATAGCAAATAGATTTTTATACACACATATGTATATATCTATTTTGATTTATATATGTGTGCAAAAAGGATTTGGCCACGCCTTCTTGAGCATGTTACATGCACATAAACAAACACATCCCACCCGTTGACCTCACAGACTACAGGGTACACAAATACTACTGCATCACAGCTCACCTGGTCAATTCGGCTTTTTGTGCTGGCCGAGCATACGTCGGCGTTATGGCATAGATTTTGGGCAACGTGTCCGCTTGAGCTTTGCTGTACATCGCCTGCAGGTAAGCGGGGCCCTGGCAGGTGTGTTTGCCGTTGCGATGAACCATTAGCAGCACAACAATGAACACGATGATCAGCACGAGCACTTGCCGTGGACGAATGCGTACCTCGGACATCTCAGCATCTAATTTCGCAAAGGCTACTCCAAAAACTCAGCGCACGTCTCACGCACAGACACTGCGGCAAAGCAAACAAAACGAAAACAAACATGAATTAAATGCGCCCATTCGCTGCCAGTTGCTGTTGATTGTTTTTGCCCGATTCCTTTTACCTAAAACACTCCACTGCACTAGCTCAGCATTAAGACACACTTTCAGTTATCTACAAATATTTTACAATTATTTTAAATAAAGCAACGAAAAGAACTTATGACATATTAACAACTTTGTGCTATTGGTAAATAAAAAATAAAAAAAGATAGCTAATGTATGCTTATATCGATATACGATAGCTTGAGCAGAAACCGCGATGTATATATCGCATGCGATGTTTCTATCAATGTCCCGCAAGTATCGCTAAATTTAAAATCGTTTAACTGAATTAAATTAATTTAAGAAATATCATACAAATAAGTTAATAAACACACCTAAGCTTCTACTTCTACTATTTTCCACTCCTCAATGCATGGACTGTTTACTTGCAACTATTCGAACCACTTAAACGCTTGGAAGTGCATGCGCTGCCAGCTTCAACAGGTTGCTGTGGCCATAACCGTTAATGCTCACGCCGTTGCTTTGGCAGCTTAGCTGGTATATGCCTTTAGCCTGCATCACACGCTGCAATAAACATTTATTAATTATTGCGCTAATTCTTTTCACGGTTTTGCCGTTCAACTATATAAGCAACTGCTTAGTAATGCCAGCTTTGTTTGCTTTACCCGTTTAACCGTTTGGCCAACAAAAACTTAACGATATTTTGTTTGACAAATAAACGCTAGATGCCGCACAAGCGATGTTTCTTTCCATGGCGGCCAATTCAAAATTCGGATCAGCTTCCCTTTGGAATAGTTCTCAAATCGAAGGAGACATGTAGCATGTAATGTGTATGAGGCCCTCATTCACAACAAAAATTCATAGCGTCAGCACACTTAATATTCTAAAAACAAAACATATTTATATATTTTCTAATCCTTAAAAGACAATAGGACACACAAAATAGTGAAACATGTGCAACACAATTGGTAAATTGGCTTCATCAATACTTTAACCGAAAACATACCTTCACGGCTGTTGTCCTCCTCCAACTCTCCCGCAGATATTAATAAACAGAAGCTCAAATTTAAGGGTTGCTGTAAAATGAGCAACAGCGAAATCTCCAAGTTCTACAATCTGGACGTACTCACCAATGCCGAGCTGGCCTCTGTTGGAGTCGCACGCGACTCTCTGATCGACGACTATCGCCACCTGCACGAGCTGTCGCAGATGAGAAAGCAGCAGCAGTGCAAGCCCAAAATGCCGAAACTTTTCGTCTCCAAAATAAAGAAGCCCAAATTCAAGTCACCCCGGAAGCCGAGCAAGGTCTTTCACTATGATCTCTTGAACAAGTTCTTTCGCTGTATGCAGTCCGAGTCGGTGGGCTTCTGTCGCTTCATGGAACAGGATCTCAATATCATAACCGACTTTCAGCGTGATACCAAAATTCTATTGATGTCGCCGCGAGAGCGAGAGTTCGCACGCTATGAATCGTATTTCGACTATCTGGATACCCTGTATCAAAACGGCGACCAGGATCGTGTCATCTCGATTGTGGCCAAGGTGATGATCAACTTCCATCGCGATCCGAATCCAGTTAAACTCTTGCCCGGCTTTGGGCGTGGCTATGGTCCGCACTACACACGCAATCGCACGGCCGTTGTCAAGCATCAATCAAAATTGTCGAATTCCTAAAATGATATTCACGATCCAATCAGTTAAGAGAGCCCCTCCCCTGCCCTTAAAGTCCCATCCACTGAGATCTCATCTAAATTTATAACTGAAGACCAAGAGAGTAACAAACAGAAGTTTTGAAATAAAAATTATGTCCCCTTCCCATCCCCCAACTTGGTTCTCTTATATAACGATTCATATAGTATGTATATACATAGATGTATGCTTATGGATATATACACAAATGTATATAGATATATATACATAGTTATATGCATATGTATATGGATATATATACATAGATATATGCATATGGACATATATTGTTTCATCATAGTCGATTTACTTTCTTTTTGTTTTATTCGATTCATCATTGAAATACACACATTTCATTTAATATTATTTTTTTTTTAAACACATTTTTTAATTTTCACTTTATTCGGCTTTTCTTTTTGTTGTTAAACTACGAATTATCTTCCATTTTTTTAATAGTATTTTTTAAGGTCTGAAAATTTGTTGCATTCCAAACGAATTTTAAATTCTAAATGCCCATATTTTGTTGTGGTTTTTAAGTTTTAATTTTAAAATTTTTGTATTATTATTATTTTTTTATTTTTTATTTAGTTGGGTTTCCATGTACAAATAGTTTGGTATGTATTGTATAAGTTAAGAGATGGGCTAGGCATCTACTCTATAAGTAGTAGTTGGTTTTCTTTTCCTCTTTTTTTTTTTTTTTTTATTTCTTTTCATCGTTTAAAGTATTCTTTAATTATAATTGTAGTTGGTAATTGTTATTTATTGAATATATATGTATACATATATATTTATATATATTTTTTTATTTATTTTTTATTTATATATATATATATAGTAGTTGTAGTAGTATATATAGCAATTTAATAGTAAATAGTAGTAGAGTTATATATATAGAAGTATACATTTATATAAATTTAGTGTTCACAAACACACACACAGATTCACACACACTCTTATATAATTATAAAACATTAGCACTCACTCGTTAATTGGTTTTTTTTTAAGGATTTTAGAATTTGGCATAAACTTAGTTTTTAAGCTCATATAACAAACTAAAATTTATATAGTTAACTCTACTTTGGTCTGTAAAAAAAAAGGAAAAACAAAATCTCGAGCCACATTTCATAGAAAACAATTTAAAAATGCAAGCTAAAATCGGCTCTGCTAAGTGTCGCAGCGCTCAGCTTTTGTGCGCCTGCACAATGTTAGTTTTTAAAGGGAAATTTACACACGCACACGCACACCCACACATACACACCAAAGTACATTGTTCTCTTTTGTATATATATACACACAAAACACATCTAGATTTGCTGATATACATATGTGTATATATATATTATATATATTTTGTTTATATTATATATTACATAAATACACGTACATAAGAAACATTTAGTCATATATAGCCTAGCACATAACTGCTCCCTCTCGCTCTCTCTTGCTCTCTCCTTGTCTTTCATATAGTTTAGCTGGCATGCATGTGACAGAGACAGCGCTATGTGTGCTACATTTTTGCTCATTAAATTTTCTTTTCTTTTTGCAATTTTTCCAGATTTTTTATAATGATTTGAAATATTTTGAAACATAATTTTTAATTTTATTTTTCTGTTTCTTACATATGAAATATTTTTCTTTTTATATTTAAGAATTTTTTTGAAATATAATTTCTAGTTTTTTGCTTGTTTTTAATTTCATCTTCATTTTTTGTGGTTTCGCTTACATTTTACATTAACTTTTAAAACGATTTACGTTTTGTTTTTCATATTTTATTTAGGCATATCGTAAATGTATTTAGTAATAGGTTTTTATATATGTATTCAAACTTTATTAAAAAAAAATTCTTTTCTTTATATTTTATATACTCAAATATATATGTATGTATATGGGGCCAATGCTTTGATTTATGTTTATGTTATATTGTGAACTATATATATAGATACATATATATATGTATATATATATATAATTCCTTTATCGTTATCTTTCTTCTTTTTGTTTTAACTATTTCGAATAGATTTTGTTAAGCATAGTCGAGCATTATCATACTCTATATATAGGCTTATGGCTGTTGTCTAGTGTAGTGTTGGCCTGCTTACGATCTATATAAATTTATATATATATATATATATATATTTATAGATATATATATATATTTATAGATATATATATATAAACAGCTATATAGATATATATCTTCATAGATTACATATATCATATATTTTTCTTTTGTTATTAAATACACAAATAAACGCAGAAATTGTTTACCTCATTGTATTTACATACATTTTTCGAATCTTATGTTTTCTCATTTCTCGTGACTTTAAGCGCTAAACAAACTAAAGTTCTAGAGCTATATATGTATATATACATATATTTATATAGTTCTAACAAATTCTTTTTCCAGTTTTTTTGTTTTTCATATTCATATTTTATAGTTTAAAAAAAAATATATGAAAAAAAAAATATGTTCGCCAAAAATATATATCTATATATATATATATATATATATATATATAGAAACTAGAGATCTATATTAATAAATAGATTTCCATAAACTAAAATTATAACAAAAACAAGTTGTTTATGTTGTTTGTCGACTTGAATGAAGTCAATCATGAATGAAAAAAAAAAAAAAGAACTAATCTATGCGCAATTTTTGCTGACTTGACTTGGTGTCGGTTGCTTGTTGTTAAACATTTGTTGTTGTTTATTTCTTGTTGTTTATTGTTTATTCTGTTAGGCTTCCAATGGTGATTTGAATATATACATATACATATATATATATAAAGATATATATATATATATGCATATGGTACAATAGTTGGGCTTTTACAATTTTACAATTATAATTAGCTTAAGAAGCGTATTTTTTATAGCAAATATATAAAGTTATATAGATATATAGATATGCATATATATATACATATATATATAGCTACATATACATATATACATATGTGTGTGTGTATAGTTGATGTGTGGTTTGTTTGTGTGTCTGTGTGTGTGTGTGTGTTTGTGTTTGTGGCAACAATATCCAGCAGCACAACAGCACTTCTGACTATGGTTTCTCTCAACAATTATACATGCAACATAATATATATAAAATGATTTTTTTTGTGTTTTTTGCTTTAGTTTTCAATTTTTGCTTTGCTTTGCTTTGCTTTGCTTTCCTTTCATTTGCTTTGCTTTGCTTTTCATTTGATTTGTTTTCTTTTGTTTTCGTTTCTTTTGTTTAATTTGATTTGTTCTTTGTTGTTTCCTCCTCAAGCTCAGATCGGCTGCGAATCCTCTTGATCGGTGTAGAACACTACGTATTTGCTATTGACGATGGCATTCCAGGCTGAAGGGCAGAAAATAGAGACGTTAGTTACTGCATTGTATCTGTATCTATATCTATATCTATACCTATACCTATACCTATATCTATATCTATATCTATATCTATATCTATATCTATATCTATATCTATATCTATATCTATATCTATATCTATATCTATATCTATATCTATATCTATATCTATATCTATATCTATATCTATATCTATATCTATATCTATATCTATATCTATATCTATAACTATATCTATATCTATATCTATATCTATATCTATATCTATATCTATATCTATATCTATATCTATATCTATATCTATATCTATATCTATATCTATATATGAACTACTATATCTTGCTAGCCAATGCTCACCTAGGCAATCTATAACTGAGCTGATTCAAAGAGGAACTCATTCCAAAGCAAAACTAATATCATATATAAGACATGCTAAAACTATATATCATCATAAATATAACTAATCTCATCTAATAATTTCTTCTATATATTTACAATGTGTCTTAATCACATCTATACAAATATGTCTATAATCTCTATAAAATAGATGGACACTAACTCTATTAAGGAACGACTTTGTTCTATGGGGTTTCATGAACTGATTAATCGTGCATCTATATAAATATTGATATTTTCGCTCGACTTACAGCTGCTGATGTAGTCCACAATGAGCTCCGTGTTGGACATTTGACATTGACGTGACGGTGGTGCGGACATGTTTGTTGCTGATGATGATGTTGTTGTGGTTGCTGATGATGATTGGGGCGGTGTGGGCGTCGCCCCGAATTCCGTTTTGAGATCAGACATAAAGCTGAGCTCGTGCAGCTGCTGCTCCTCGTCCTCGTCATCGAGATGATCAGCAGCAACAGCATTGTCAGCAGCAGCAGCTGCTGGATGCACTCCACTGCCCAGGCCGTAGGTGCCATAGAGAGCTGGTCGTGGCTTGGCGTTAGCAACTGTCGCCGGCTGCTCGCGTGAATTGCTGCGACTGCAGCTGCCGCTGCGCGACGAGGCCGCTGCAGCAGCGGCGCGGGCAGCTGCAATAATTGCTGCCTCGATATCGTTGCATGTCTCCAGCTGTTGCATGGGCAGCGGCTCATCCTGGCAGCTGCTGCAACTGCTGCTGTTGCTATGGCTATGACTGTGGCTGCGGCTGTGGCTGTTGCCGCTGGCATTGGCATTGGCGTTGCCGGCGCTGGCCTTGCTTAGGAAATTATTCACCTGATCCTTGATGGTGGCCGCAGCTGAATTCGATATGTTGGCAGTGCCATAGATGCCGCTGTCGCTCGACTGATTGGCCAAGTGCAAGGCGGCGCTGCCGCCATTGCCACTTCCGTTGCCGTTGCCATTGCCATTGCCGTTGCTGGCGCTGCTCAGCGTCGACGAGGAGGCGGAGGTGGAGCAGGAAGCCGACGATGATGGCGTCGACGAAGTCGATGAGCTGTTATTGGCGGCTGCGGCATTGGGCGACGACTGTGCCGCCTGCCCTGAGATCAGCAGCATATCCATGCAGGCCGAACTATTAACCAAATCGGAGGCGGCGCCCGAATCGTTAAGCAGCTGCAGTTGCAACTGTTGCTGTTGCTGCTGCTGCTGTTGCTGTTGGTCACAGCTGGAATCTGTTGCAGTTGCTGCTGTTGCTGTTGTCGGCGTCGTCTGCTGCTGCTTGTCCACCTGATGGGGCTTCTCGTCCGACTCCTCCTTGTCGCTGGCGTCGTCGAACAGCTTCAGCTCGTCCTCATTGAAGTCGCCAAAGATGAACTCGTTGTTGAGCCTGCCCAGCGCCGAGTCGCGATCATCGTTGAGTATAATCACAGCGGGTCTATTGCCCGCCGGCAATGCTGTCTGCACGCCAGCGGCCACAGTGTTGCAGCTGCTGTGCTTCTTGGCCACCTCCGTCTGCGTGGCTGCAGTTGCCTTGTTGTTGTGGCAGCATGTGTTAAAGCTAATGGGCGGCGACGTCGTCATCGTCGACGTTGATTGCTCCTCCTGACTAGGCTTCTTCTCCTTCTTGCTGCTGCTGCTGCTGTTGCTGCTGTTGCTGCTGTTGCTGCTGTTGCTGCTGCTGCTGCTGTTGCAGCTGCTGCTGCTGCCAGGTGATAGTTCCTTTGGCTTGCTCTTAGCCTTGGCTGAGGTAGTTGCTGTAGCAGCAGCAACTGTTGCTACTGCTGTTGCTGCTGTCGTCACATCTTGGCTGAGCTTCTCCTTTTCCTTTTCCTTCTCTTTCTCCTTCTCCTGCTGTTGCTTGGCAGCTGCAGCAAAATTAATGTTGCTGCTGATGGCCGAAGGCAGCGACACATAGTTGACGCTGTGCCGCTTCACAGTCTTCTCCAGCGCCGGATACTGCAAGTCCAGATTGCTGCTGTTGAAGCTGTAGCTGCTGCTGCTGCTGCTGTTGCCGCGGGCATCGTGCTCGACACTCTTGGACTTTTGCAGCGCTGGCGGCGCTGACTGCTGTTGATTCGAGGTGGCATTTGTTGTGTTTGATGATGTTGCTGCTGCTGCTGCTCCTGCTGCTGCTGCTGCTGCTGCTGTGGGCGCAACAGCTGCTGTGCTCTGCAATTGTTGCTGCTCCTCGGCCTCGCTGCTGTTGCTGTGCGCCAGCAATTTGCTCAGGCTCTGCGAGTAGCTGATGAGCACAGCGGCTGTTGCGGCTGCTGTTGCTGTTGCAGCGCCCGCTGCTGTTGCTGTTGTTATATTGGCGGCCATGGCGCTTGGCAGCTCTGGAAAGTCGGGACGCGCCTTTGACTTGGCGGCGCGCTGTTTGCTGCTGCTGCTGCTGTTGCTGTTGTTCGTGCTGCTGCTGCTGTTGTTGTTGTCCAGCAGCAACAGGGATGAGCCTGTGGTTGCGCCCTGGCCATCGTGTCCGGCATCGTTGTCCTCGCTGGCGGCCAGCTGCTCGCGCTTGTTGCGTGCGATGTCCGCATACGAGATGGGCGCATTATTATGATTCTTATTGGTATTGTTATTGTTGTTGTTATTGTTGTTATTGTTATTCTGTTTGGCCTGTGCGGCGGCTGCTGAACGCTTATTGTTGCTGCTCTTCTTCTTGCCAGTTTGTATGGGCAGCGAGTGCACCGAGTCGAGATCACTTGAATCAGATTTCTCCGATGGCGGCATGGACGATGTGGACTTGCGACGTGAATTATCCTGTGTGCCAGCAACAACTGTTGTCGTTGCAGCTGCAGTTGCTGTTGCTGATGTTGCTGTTGTGGCGTGTTGTTGTTGTTGTTGCTGCTGCTGCTGCACCTGTTGCTGCTGCTGCTTGTTGCTGTTGTAGCCGGTGTGTGCAGCATAATAATTGTTGTTGTTGCTGTTGTTGTTGTAATAGTCCATGTTGCTGCCGCGCAAGCGTTGCGACATCATATTGGACGATGCCGACTTTGTGATCTGTTGCATGCGCTGCAAGTTGCCGCCGGTTGTGGCAGCTGCCGCGACGGCCGCATCGTCCATGGTAACGGCACGCTGCTTCTTTGGTTTCTTCTTTTTGGTGACCACGTGGAACTCGGCCGTCTCAGTCAGCACCGTATTGAGAGCCTCAATCTCCGACATGCGCGCCAATGAGGGCAGCTCAAGCGATGGCATTGTGCCGCTCGTCATCGATATCTGTGATGATGATGATGCTGCTACTGCTGCTGCTGCCGCTGCTGCTGGCTCACTGCAGTTGCTGTTGTTGCCGCTGGTGTTGCTGCTGTCGTTCAACGCGGGCTCGCCCAAATACTGCAGCTCCTCGGTACCCCAGGAGCGACGTTCGCCCTTGCGTGGCGCCGATGGCTGTTGCTGCTGCTGTGACTGTTGCTGCTGGGATGATTGCTGCTGCTGCTGCTGCTGCTGCTGCTGCTGCTGCTGTGATTGTTGCTGTTCCTTGTTGCAGTTCTTATTGATGTCCGCCACGGAGGCGGAATTGTGCTTGCCACCCTTCTTGTTGCGCATCATCTCAGTGGTTGCCGACTGGCGCTTCAGCTCGTCGACCTCCATCTTCGCACAGCTGCGCAGCTCTTCGAGCGAATTACATTTCTTGAGCTTGTTTTGCTTCTTGCGCTCCTTTTTCTTCTGCTGCTGCTGCTGGGCGCCGTCGTTCTCAATGTACTTGACCAGCTGCTCGACCGGATCCTTGCCGCGATACCCAGCCACGGACTCCACATCCACCGTGGTGGTGTTCCGCTCCTGCTGCGACTTCTTCTTCGCCTTGAGCTTGGTGGGTGGCTGCGGCGGGCCGCCAATCATGGGCGTCTGCTGCAGCTGGTTGTAGGTGGCACAAACAGCTGCAAATGCCATGGCCGGTGTCGTCATGTTTCCGCCAACGCTGTTCGAGCGCTGCTGATGATGCTGCAGCTGTTGCTGGTGCTGCTGAGCGCCGCTGTTGCCTGTAATCATGGCCGTGAACTGATTGGCGGCGGAGCTGCTGCTGCTGCTGCTGCTATTGCTGTTGCTGCTGCTGTTGCCGTTGCCGCTGCTGCTGCCGGTGCCGGTGCCGGTGCCGGTGCCACCTGCAGCAGCGATTGCCGCCGCTGCTGCGGCGACGGCTGCGTAGCCATCGTTCAGGGCGTTGCCGTTCTCATCAAACTGGCGCTGCAATGGCAATAGGCGAATATTATCATTAATATCGTAATCAACTCACAATATAAACTATGAAATAAGAGTTTAACACGCCGTTAAACCAGACAACTTAACTAACCATCAGCCTTAATTTTGCATAATGTACCGTTCGCTTGTTTTTGCAACGCTTCAAGAATTTCACATTCATTTCTATATGCTTTTCTTCTCTTCTTACTTCGCGATTCACAAATTTTTTATTCTAAATATGGAAAACAAAACAAAATTAAAAACAATTTCAACTTTGTTGTGCGATCTTCAGGTGTGCGTTGTGTGTGTTCTGTGTGTTCTGCGTGTTCTCACTGTGTTGCGTTGTGGGCTCTATGCTTTGTGCTCTCTGCTCTGTTCCTATCGAATCATTCAGCCAACTCCAAATGTTATACGATCCTCATATTACTATTATTAATTACGGACTTCGTTCGTTTGTTTGTTTGTTGTTCGCTTGATCGTTCTTTCGTTCGTCTTGTTTGTGATTTGTCAAATGGATGTCCAATAACGATAATTGTTTCCACTAATATTACGACTATTTACATTTGTTTATTTTTAGCTACATAGAAACCTAATTATGACATAGGAGATATGAACATATATAATATACGGTTTCTGAGCTAAGAATATGGGAAATACTAGATTTATATGTAGGAGCTCTGGGTATAGGTCGACTTTATCAAACCAGAGATCAAATCACATTACCATAAATAAACATGTATTAGGGTCGAGGAAGATAGACGAACTAAACTCAAAAATAATGTTCCCGATCTGATTCAACTTGTCCAATCATTCGACATCCGAAATATCCATCTAAGCCATTTTAATCGGTATTAAATTACGATTAATATCTACCGATTATGACGGATTAGCAATACATATACATTGCTTCGAAATAACAGACATGACTAGATCAAGAATATTTATACATAAATGCATTTTGGGGTCTGCCACCATTGCCACTTACAATAGATTCAGGATACAAAAACATATTGATAGATATTCCTATAGACAGATTTCAATATTTTTAATTTTTCAAATAATCATGCCTAGTATCAAATCAATTCAAACTGACTCTGTTGGGTTGCTGTCTATATAAATACTACACATAAGCCTTATCAAACGGATATCCATAGAACGTATTTCGCCATTAGTGAGTTCATAATGAGGCTGAAGATCTATTCCATAGGTCAATATCGTTCTGTCAGATATTATTAAGTAGTATAATATATACTGACGCTATGTAGCCGAGCCATTGACTTATCAATTCGAATGAGAAGAGCCTTGGTCAACAGCTGTCCGCCAGATCTGGAGTCTCGGTTCTTTTCCTAGGTAGTGCTTCTGCAGAACATGTGCAGCAGTTCCCGTTGAATGTGGAGCTTATATAGTATATATATATATATATAGCTAAACAAAGTTTCTTTGTATATCATGAGCGACATATTGTTTAGTTATGCCACTAATTACATATATCACATGTCAATTAATTAGTCTCAAATTATTGCATTACATTACAGCTAATTTCGAATATAAAATGCAGAGTGTTTCGCAAAACGGAGAAACTCTTGGAATACGGCAAGCAGCAATCGGTGTATGCTATTCAAATGCATTTTGCTGCTCTTGCCCACTCCTATATAGGGTATATTTACAATGAATGGCCTTAGCTTAACTGTAGTTCCTATAGCAACTGTCTCGACACGGTACGAAACACTCAAAGCCATTTACAGTTATCTTAACGCACACTAAGCAACGATGCTAATACATACACCAAGGCGGACACAACAGACACAACTAACAAATATGCCTCGTAGACAACATATACAGGGAATTTGCCAAGTCTCTGGGCACTGGAGTGCAGCCGTACAGCCAGCGAGACAGAGTCAAGCCTCTGTCAATAGCTCAGCGTAGGCAGTTCCAAGAACCCATCGGCTATTGCATTGGCTGTGCATACCCCTCTCTCGTCCGTTAAGTACTGGGCATATTTACAATCTGTTAACACACTCTCGATCACGCACACAGAGACATACAGACATACAAACGACAACTATGTATTAATGGTTTAGCTGAATGCTTCTATTCAGTCCTCCCAGCTTATTCCAATAAGTACAGGGCAGATCTACAATATGATAGGCCCGCTTCTTACCGTTGTGGACTTGGCGCTGTGCGAGGCAGCGACAGCTGCTGTGGCCGCCGCGGTCATCATGTGTCCAATTTTGGCCGTACGCAGATCGGAGCCAGCGAATAGATCAGCGGAATTGCCGGAATCGTGGCCGGCGGCGCCCGAGGATGTGGAACTGCCGACGCCGTAGACCGAAGAGCACGCCGTGTAGCTGTCATTGAGCGAAACGTAGCCGGCCTCCACTTTGCGCTTGTGCTCGTCCAGAGTGAGCGTGAATGGGCCACCAGCACCACTGGCACCTGGAGCATTGGACGGCGCAGCGGCGTATTGCGGCTGCTGCTGTTGCCGCAGTTGCTGCTGCTTGGCAGACTGCTCCAGCATGAAAAAGTGCAGCGGATCATCGATTAGGAACTCTTTAACAGCGCCCGAGTCTATGGCATCGGACAGCTGCTTCTGTTGCTGCTGTTGTTGCTTCTGCACCTGCTGAGTGAGAGTGTCCAGCGGCTGTTCAGGCTTATCCTTGTGCTGCGCATCCGAATGTAGCTCCTTTTTATCAATATTATGTGGTTTATATTTTTGTTTCGATTTTGGTTATACAAGAAATAAAGAATTGCACAAAGTTTAATATATATATTGTTGTTGTTGTTGTAACGCTTGTTTGTTGATTGAATTGTAAATATTGCCCAGTTCTTAAAACGCGCTTAATATTTGTTTTGTTTTTCTTCTTTTTTTTTTTACATTCACCTCAACTTCACACACATACACACACACACACAAACCGATTTTACCGACAACCTTCAATCATGATTGATGTGAATTGTTAATTGTTAATGATAGTGTTAGAGCAAGAGCAGAACAACGCATAGAATAAACAACATTTAGGTTAAAATTTTTGTGTGTTTTGGGAAATATTTTGGATATTTTGGTTAGGCAAATGAGATATGTGATGATGAGAGCAAAGGGTGAACTTGAATTGATTTGATTAATACTCTAATTGAAATCTCTCTGTAGGCAGCCCTTAGACAAATGAATGAGTGACTCCCAGCTCCTGCAACAAACTACAGACTATGAGAGATAGAGAGGGAGAGAGAGAGAGAGAGAGAAAGAGAGACAGGTGATGGTGATGATTATGTCTTTGGCAGTCAGTTCAGGCCCTCAACCAATATTGACAAATGGATTGATACGGTCTTATATGGATAGTTAAGCAAATGTTTGTGTTTGTGTTTGCTGTTGTTGTTGTTGTTGGTGTAGTTGTTGTTGTTGAATAAGCTTATATCAGAATTTGTTGCATTCATATTGAACTTCCACGTACACCTATTCCTTACCTCCTGCTCATATATTTGGCCGCCAGCGACATCGATGGCCACGCCATCCTGATCGAACTGCACGACCATGTTGCCAGTCTCATTCAGCTGACTGGGAAGGCTGTTGCTGTTGTTGTTGCTGCTGCTGCTGCCATTACTGTTGCTGTTGCTGTTGCGATTGTTTTTGTTGTGATTGTTGCCACTGGCATTGACACTGCTGAGCACCATCTGCTCGCCAACGGTCAGCTTCTGCTTAATATCCATATTGGCATCAAAGTTGACGCTGCTGGGCAAACTGCCACCTTCGCGCTGTCGCGCCGACACAGACGAGTTTGAGTTGATCTTGAACTTCTTCAGGACCAGAGTGGCGTTTTGGTTGTTGCTATTGTTGTTGCTGCTGCTATTGTTATTGTTGTTGTTGTGCTGTTGGCGTCGATTGGCTCGAGCGTTGCTGCTGTTGCCGCTGCTGCCGCTGCCGCTGGCGCCACTCAGCTGATAATCACAGTTGAAACGTTGGGTTGCTGCCGCTGCCGCCGCCGCCGCCGCTGACGTCGTTGCCAGCTCGCTGCGATGCGTCGCCTCGACTAAATCCTGCAAAGAGCCGAACTGCCTATGACGCTGTGATGCCGTCCGATGGTTGCTGCTATGATAGCCGCTGCTGCTGCTATAGGTATTGTTGTTGCTGTTGCTGCTATTGTGCGCACCGAAGTTGCTGCCGCCGCTGCCTACGCTACTGCTGTGGCCATAATAGCCGCTGGACGTTGATGATGATGATGCGGACGTGTTGCGAGTTAAGCAGTTTTTAATGACACGACGATAAGAGTTCTCCTCGTCGTACTCAGCCTTCTTAAGCATTTGCTATAAACAATATGCAGAAATGCATTAACATTGTGATCTACTTGGAGCTAATCAACTGCTTACCAGAAAACGCTCGCTTTTGTTTTTCCTGTCGCCAGGGCTGCGATACCAATAGGCCTCCTCGAGCAATTTCTTCAATGATGCGTCGTCGAGATCATTTATTTCGCTATCCTCCCAAGGATCGTACTTTGTCTGCAAATTAGTTGAAACAATTATTAAATCGTGCTTCGTTCTTCGTCCATAACCTCAACAGCACTGAGCCAGTGCCAAAGCAACGGTATTTACTGGAAGTATGTTGGTGATCAGGGGTGTAGTACCTGGAAATGTAGCGCGCGGCCGGGCTTGCAGCTTTGACTACAATTTCAAATTGAGCCCGCGTCTTGACGCTGCAACACTTTGCTTTGGTTAATGATTCTAACACACAACGCACTTGGGCTACAGTTTTTATAGTTGTGCGTGAGCACATACACGAACAGCTACCTATGTATGTATGTACATATATGTACATAGTACATATATGTACGTTTTATGTAGATATGTCAGGCTCAAGTCACAGAAGGCGCACACACACAACACACACGAGTGCAATAAATAAAATAAATTAAACACAACAAATTTAAATGCGTGTGGTTAGCTCCAATGCGGCGGCTGCGGCGGCGCCACAGAACAAAACGTTTGACGATAGGTTCATACAATTGTGGTTTGGTTTTTCAACAAACTCGAAAAAAAAAACAACACAAAAACAAAAACTATTAAAATAAAAGAGCGAGAGATACAAGAAATTGAATTTATCAAATAAAATAAACCAAAAATTGATCAATGCGATATGAAACGCGTTCGGCCTGCCGATCTGCAAACTTGCATTACACTAAGGCACGCCACAGTCACCAAACAAAATTGCGTGAGTGTGTGGAATGGAAGGAGCGGAGCTGATAGATAACGGCATTTCTCCAAAACCATTCCAGGCGAACAGCGTACGCAAATGAAATGAAAAATGCCCCTTTTGCTAATTGCGATCTTTTTCTTGTGGCCATTGCTGCCGCTGTTATTGTCGTTGTTGCCTGCTCCCAGACAACAGAATGTCCCAACTAAAGTAACGGTTTCTTTTCCTATTACGCTGTAATGCGCAGCATTTGCGCGAAGCACGTTACTGAGCGCCAGAACAGAGACGTTCAATAACAGACAATAAGAGATAAATATCGAAACGAAATAACGAAATGAATGATTGTGTTGCTATTAATTAAGTTTATAGTTCTCTCTCTCCATCAATTTGTGTATGTTGACTAAATAACTTTTTTTTTTTTTTTTTTTTTTTTTAGCAATATACAATATTTTATATGTACACAAATATGATCTATGTACGTGTGTAGATATGTACATACATATTTCCATATACGCAGTATGTATGTATGTACATGTATGAGTCTCTGCACATGTTGTTAGTTCTGATGTCGATATTTATAGAATGTTTATGCGATTTTTATTGGATATGTAATTTAAAAATCTTTCAAACAGAAATATCTGTATACATACATATGTATGTATGTATAAAAGTATTTACATATATTCATATGTACGACAGTCAAGCAATATACATACATACATTTGTACATCACTATGGACGGACATACATACATGTATATGTACATATGTATGTATTAACAGCTATGCATGCATGTGTGTACGTATTTGGTGCGTGTACAAATGATTGCAAATGTCCGCTGGAAACGATCGAGCCATAACACACATACACACACAGAAACACACAGAGTCGCAAATTCTTGTGGAAATCAACAGTGAACGAAATTAATCTAATAAACAAAAAGAAATAGAGGGAAGAAAATGAAGTTAAGTTCAGAAAATAGGGCAACAAAACGGAAAAGGAAATTTACAGTGGGTAGAAAAAAATAAAAGAGAACAACAAAATTGATTTACGTGAATTTCAATGTCATTATAGAATTAGCCGTTGCCAGCGACAATTTGACTCCAATTATTTGAATGGTCTTCCAGGATTTTCGATACATTTATGTATGTACATGCATATGTGTATATGTTTGCTTATTTGTTTGTTTATATACATACATTTATTGCTTATATAGAGCATAGCTTACCCTTTTATTCTTTTGACGCTTGCCCACATATTGGTCATCCTGGGTTTTACCTTTGGTGGTGGCGCCGCGTCGATGATGCAGCGCCGTTGCCGCGGCAATCACATCTGACGCAGGCTGGTCCGATTTACTGAGCAGCGGCGTCAATTTTAAATTGTGATGTGCCGTGTTTGCAGCGCTGTCCTGGCTGGCAGCGCTGCCGGCACCACCCTCGCTGCTACTGTTGCTTTTCTTATCAACAGCCGCCACATGATTCTGGCTAAGATCAACAACAGTCGCCGATGGACTACTGTTAGTATTGTTGCTGTTGCTATTGCTGCTGCTGCTGTTGGTGTTGTTGGACAGATCGTTGGCGGGTCGCTGCTCCAGCTTTACATTGTGCGACATCAAGGTGGTTAGCTGCTCCTGGAAATAGGGCGTCGGCGTCGTCTTAGTCGATGTGGTGGTCGAGGTACTCTCACTCAACGTCCCGGCGGCAATCGAAACGATTGGCGTGTCAGGAATAATAGCCTGGATTTTCGTTACCAATGTGGCAATATTGCTATCTTTGTCCTTGGCGTTGCCGGCGACGACACTGGCGGCGCTGCCTGTTGATATGGCCTTGATGAGTTGCGCAGCTGCTGCGCTGCTATTGCTAGCAGATGCAGTTGCACTTGCTGTTGCAGTTGCTGCTGCTGCTGCTGCTGCTGTTGCTGTTGCAGATGTGGATATTGTGGATGATGATAAGGTTGTCGCTGATGATGATATTGATGAAACACCAATTTGTTCATTGTTCATCTTTTGTGGCATCGAACAAACAACGAAATGCCATTAAAATTACAAAAACGTACACAATTGACAGTTGTCAGTTCCGAAATAAAACCTGGCAATACAAAAAAGAAAACAACAAAATAAATGACAGACATATATACACATACCTACTTATACATATATTGTATATTTACAAACACAAATTTTTGTGTGTGCATTAAAGGAGAGTATAAACTACGATAGAGCTTATAAACACACTCTCTGCAATTGTCTCTCGCTCTCGATTGCCCACTCTTCATTCTCTTTCCCTCACACTTCTAATTACCAGTTAACGGTTACTTACCAAGTAGATTTCCAATAGGGGATGTGGGATATGCTCTGCAGATCCCAATGTCCTAGAAAAACAGCTGTCAAGGCCACCGACGCGCGTGTTAGCGCCGCAGCCAGTGGCACCCAGAAGGGCACCGTTAATGCTGTTAAGCTCGCTCTTCCGTTCACTCTCGTTGTTGTTGCTGTGGTTGTCCTGAATGAAACGTTGCCCAATTGCAACTCGCGTTGTTTTATGTCTGGCGTAAGTTTTTTCTTACGTTTTCTTTCTCTCTCTCATACACACGCAATAGTCACTATTGTTTATTTGAAAACGTAAATGAACTGTAGAGCTGTTGTTTGTTTTTCTAGTAAAATGATGTACAAATGCCGCTTGCTTACGCACTGTAGTAGTTTGTGTTGATTTTGCTGATTTTACGATTTTATGCTTTTTTTCTCTGCTCGTTCTCTTATTATCTCTCCTTGTTAGTTGAATTGTTGATTTTTTCGCTTTAGTGCAGTTGTCAGTCCGTCAATCGAAGGCAACCAGTTAAATTGCTTTAAAGCGGAGCAACCTTGTCACTACCATTTGGATTGGAAACACTCACATCGCCGACACCGCGTCTACACATCACCAAACATTAAAGCAAAATAACAGAAAAAAATATATATAGATTTAATAAAAGAAATGCGACTTGTCAAAAAAATCATTTGCTTGCAAAGCCGCGCAGTGTTGCCAAATAGAGATGTGCGATATTCACATGGCTCTCATCTCTAGATGCAAAGCGAAATTTACATACGGTCATATCTCGTTGCCGATGTTATTTTTGGCACACACACTCGCACACTTCTATCTGACTAGATATTTAAATTATCGAATATTTTGGGTGTGCGTTAACATTAAATGCTTTTATAGGCAGATCACAATGTGTTTATGAATTGCCAATTGCCGCTTGGAAGTTGGAAAGTTGTTTGCACACGCGTTGGCAGCCCTGGCATTCTGTTGTCAGTGGCAACACTAGCGCAAACACGTCATTTTGCCACACAGTTTTTGTTGTTGTAGCAATTTACAAATACGTTCTATTAGCATGAGCAGCGCTACACATACGATTCGCGTTCACACACACATGCATATTACATTCTGTATATGTATCGACAAATACAGATGTACACATACGCAAATGAGCTCATATATGTACAAACAGTGCTTACTTTGCACTTTTAATTTGTTGTTAAACGCTTAGCGAATTGTTTCTTCTTCTGATACATACGCAATGCACACAAACACTCGCATACACACACGCACACGCACTTGCTTATGCACCTTCCACTACACATATGTATGTGTGTACATTTTTCTGACCTTCTCTTGCACATAGCGAAAAAAATACATATATTGCTGTAGACGGACCAGCGTAAGCACACACAAGCATCGATAACGTTAACAATTCATCATATGTTTATAATTTAAATGCACAACTTTGATATTTTTGTTTAATTACACATGAAACGTAAAATTCTGAAAAGAACGAACACTTTAGAGCGCAGTTGTTTTGCTTTACAACACTTTCGCAGGTCTTTCACAGCACTATTGGCGACTTATGAGGTAATCGAATACTTGCGCGATAGAGATAGCCGTAATACAACTCTAGGCATTGACACTCCGCTCCGCAGACTTTTGCGATATTAAGATTTTAAAAATTTTATCATCAACTGCTTTAACTTGTAAAACTGAAACGAAACTCTTATAAAAAAGTCTACTTTGTTGTATTTCGCATTTATTTTTCTAGTAACGATAACGAATAGAAAATTTCACTCGGATTGCTATAAGGCGATAGGTCGATAGCTTAGCCGAGGCACAGGCACTATCGATATCCGGGCGTCACTTTGATCCTGGCTGACTTGCTGTGCGGTGCGTTTTGCGAGTAATTGAAATAAAATTCTTAATTTCTATGAATATAACGACATGAAGACCAAATACGAATTCGACGATGATGTTTCATCAATTTGTGAATCGACGGTAATTATCAAGCAACTAACTGACCACAGTAATCAAATAGAGTGCAAATGCAACTGCCAAGTATAGCCCTCTCGCTCTAACCTGCGCACCATTTTGCTTTTTGTGCGCCATAATTTTTTGTTTTCTTTTTTGTTGCATTTCAATTATAATAATTGTTGATGTTTATAACAGGCCGCCTTGACCGAGGGCTGTCGTCTGTCCGTGCGCATGCACAAGACCGATGATTGGCCCCTGGCCGAGATTGTGAGCATCAAAGAGCAGGACGGGAAGCGTCAGTTCTATGTGCACTATGTGGACTGTAAGTAAACAACAATAACAAATAGTAACAATTGTAAGTGAACATTGCGACGCCTGCACAGTTAACAAGCGTCTGGACGAGTGGGTCAACGAGGATGACTTGGACACGCGCAAGGTGCAGTTTCCACGGCGCGACGGGCCGCAAACTGGCACCAGCACGGGCGTCACCACGCCCAAGCGCCATCATTCGCTGGCTGGCAGTGTGTCGCGCCCGACATCACCGCAGCCGCAGCACGCCAGCGGCCTGGGCGGCACCATCGCTGGCTCTGGCGGCTCCATGGCTAACAACAGCGGCACTGAGCTGGTCAATGGCAACAATGTGCTAGCTGCTGCGTTGCAGAAGCGCATCAATCGTCGTCGCAAGGTGCACGGGGCACATCATTCGCAGTCGCTGCAGCAGCAGCAACAGGCGCAGTCGCAGCAGCAGCTGCCACAGACACCTCAGACTCCACAGACGCCTGTTCACGTGACAGGCGATGGCGGATTGCTGCCCGCAACTCCTCTGGGCGGGGCTACAGCTGCTGGGAACGACGACGCCTCGCAGGACGGCAAGATGGCAACGCCCCGCCAGTCGGGCAGCATGGTCACTCACCAGGATGACGTGGTCACGCGCATGAAGAATGTAGAGATGATCGAGCTTGGGCGCCACCGCATCAAGCCCTGGTACTTCTCGCCGTATCCGCAGGAGCTGTGCCAGCAGAGCTGCATTTACATCTGCGAGTTCTGCCTGAAGTACTGCAAGAGCCGCAAGTGCCTGGAGCGCCACTTGTCCAAGTGCAACCTCCGCCACCCACCGGGCAACGAGATCTATCGCAAGAATACAATCTCGTTTTTCGAGATCGACGGACGCAAGAACAAGTTCTACGCCCAGAACCTTTGCCTGTTGGCCAAGCTATTCTTAGACCACAAGACGCTCTACTATGACACAGATCCGTTCTTGTTCTACATCATGACCGAGTTTGACTCGCGCGGCTTTCATATTGTTGGCTACTTCTCCAAGGAGAAGGAGAGCACCGAGGACTACAACGTGGCATGTATCTTGACCATGCCGCCATATCAACGCAAGGGTTACGGCAAGCTTCTCATCGAGTTCAGCTATGAGCTGTCCAAGTTCGAGGGCAAGACCGGCTCGCCGGAGAAGCCGCTCTCCGACTTGGGCTTGCTCTCCTATCGCTCGTACTGGGCCCAGACCATACTGGAGATACTGATTAGCCAGAACTCTGGCACAGATGGCGAGAAGCCCACCATAACCATCAAGTATTTGCCATATTATATATTTATCTATTCCAATTATTCACTTTTAAAATTTCATTTGCTGTGCTTCCAGCGACATCTGTGAGTGCACCTCTATTAAGAAGGAGGACGTGATCTCCACTTTGCAGAATCTGAATCTGATCAACTACTACAAGGGTCAGTACATTGTCTGCATTGGGCGCGAGACTATTGAACAGCATCAGCGCGCCATGCAGAAGCGCAAGATTCGTATCGACTCCAAGTGCCTCCACTGGACCCCCAAGGATTGGTCCAAGCGCTCCAAGTGGTAACTAAAGTCTCGCCGCTGCTTCGTGCTAGGCTAACACGCTAATCCCCGACAACTCTCTCTCTCTCTCCTAGAATACGCTCAGCCGCCTGCCTGCGCCCGCGCTTATTCGCTAAATTAATCATTTAACCCCACCGAAAGTACAATAAATGCGTTTGTGGCTTGCACATCAGCATTTATCATAGAATTAAAATATTATGTTCCTTATAGTTTTTATTTTATTTTTATTTTTTATTATTATCATATATTACAAATATATATATCTATATAAATCTGTTATGGAAACAGTTGACACCAAATTATTAGATTTATTTATTCTCATCTTTGGCCAGGGCGGGAATCACTTCTCGATAGTTGATTGAGATGTTATCGATTATTATTAGTTTGCAAATGCTGTCTCCTTTCTTCCACACTTTGCTCATTGGAAAGAGTAAAGGGGTCCATCCACTTGCGAACATGTTCGCCGAACACAATCATTGCAACATTGTACGTCGAACAACATTTTTAAAAATTTTTCGAGAGGGAAACGTGTCTGAGGAGCGAAATAAAATCGTTGCCCTAATGGCAATAAGTGTACTTAAAAATAGAACAAGAAAAAAAAATAAAAGAAAGCATAATATGTGGATGAAAGAGTGGTACGCAAAGCGAGGAAAATTCACTCACACAAAATTGTTAAAAGAGCTGAACGAAACGTCCCACCTGGACTTGAAGAATTTTCTTTGAATGGATGGGGAAACCTATGAGGAATTACTAAGTTTGGTAGGACCTAAGACTAAACGACACGACATTCCCTCGAGAATGTCAATAACGCCAAATGAAAGGCTTTCGGCAACTTTGCTGACAATCATATGAGGACTTAAAATTTTCAACTGGAATTTCTCCGCAAAGTGTTGGCCGAAGTGTAATTGAGACATGTAGACAGATTATTAACGCTGTTCCGATGATACACAACTGAAGGGATTGGTCTAGCAGTAACTGGTGTGCTGGATTGGTATGCATGTTGAGCTACGCTTTCAAACGTCAGCATACCCAGTTGGCCTTGGAATAGCAGTTCCTCAATCCCCTTTCTGGCAAAAATTTGCTGATCCGCTGGCAGCTGCCTGAATGTTGCGGCCCAGGATTCTGCATATATGTCAGCGATATCTTTTTCCTTAGCATTTTCCGAATGTCTCATCGCTTTTGCAAGGAATTCATTGCTGTCAGCACTCTTTCGCTTCTTTGGTTTGCTCTGAAATTGATACATACATATTAATTAATCAATCATCTTTCAGATGCCGGCAAATGAAGAGGACTAAATAGGAAGGAAATTGCAATAAGCTTTGAAAGTCGGTGGAAGGAATTTCGTCATCTGGGTCCTTCTATTACAACTATAAAGCTAGGTACACACGAGGCAAACCCAAGTTGGCACAAATGTTGCATGCAAATTACTTGCTTCAATCATGCTTGCAAGTAACACTCAGTTGCAAGTTCTGTTGTCTGGTACCAGGTACCAAAACTCTACTGAAGCAAAAAATATTCGTGAAGAATTTAAACATTTTTTGTGTCGCCTGATGGTGTATTGTCATGACAATATAAACATACATATATGAAATAAGCAATTAGTCGGATATTTTCAATAAATTGTATAACTTACAATATTTTGAATTTTATAATTATTTCCGTCGTCATTTTTAATGAATTTAAGCGCATCGAAAAACTCCCATTTGCTGGTATAATTGTCCAATTTACCCTGGTCACTCTTTTTTTGCTTCACTCTGCGCACCTCTTGCAAAAATTGAGTGCGCAAATGATGAATTTTTGTTTTGATTTCATCATCACTTTTGTTTAATTTTTCCGCAATTTCGCGATAAGCATTTTGCTTTTTATACTTATTTTTATAGTCTGCTGACGAAACATCCCATAAAACTGCAAAATTCTCGTACAATTCAATTAATTCAATCGTTTTTTCGCGATCCCACATTTTGCCTTGCTTGCTGCAATATTGCGACTGAGAGCAAACAGCACATGCAAACAAGCAAGCAACTACTGACGCAACCAAGTTAACGGTAAAATTCTGTATTCAGACGACAAGCAACAAAAGTTGCCGCAAACAGTTATTGCAAATTTTTTGCTTGCAGCAAAATGTTTGCACTCGTGTTAAAACGTGCAAATTCGATTGCATCAATCAGCTTGCTGCAAATTGTTTGCATCGTGTGTACCTAGTTGAACGAAAGAGGAACTTGTTTTTATACCCTGAACCCATTTTCAATGGGAAATCAGGGTATAATGGTTTTGTTGAAATGTATGTAACAGGGAGAAGGAGGCGTGGCAGACCCCACAAAGTATATATATTCTTGATCAGGGTGACGAGCTGAGTTGATTTGGCCCTGTCCGTCTGTCTGTCCGTCTGTCCGTCTGTCCGTCTGTCCGTATGTATGAACGCGTCGATTTCAGAAGATATAAGAGCTAGAGACTTCAAATTTTTTTTTAAAATGTCCGTAATTACAGCGCGCATATCAAGTTTATCATTAAAAATCGATAACTCATCTCGATCTTTTTTTTATCGATAAAAAACCTTATCGAAACCCAGTTATAAAATTATATCTTCTACACCTTTATTGCTAGGGTCTCCAAATTTTTAATGTATGCTTATATGCAATTTATACAATTTCGGTTTTTGTTAAAATTTACCCCCACCTCTAAATTCGCCCCCTCACCCTCACTTTTGTAAAAAGCGTATTTCAAATACTAGAGACTTGTGCTTTGGCAATTACATGCATATTCATGTTATAATCATATTCTGAAAGTTTCATAAAGATCGTACGTCCATAAAAAAAAGTTATTAAACAATTAACTTCTCATAGTAAGCGCACACTGCAGCCCATGCGTGTTTATGCGTGGTTGCTTGTGTGTGTATGTGTTTGTGTATGCGTGTGTTTATGTGTGTGTGTGTATGCGTTTGTGTCTGTATGCGTGTGTGTGTGTGTATGTGTGTCTGTATGCGTGTGTGTGTATATATGCCTGTGTGTGCGTACGTGCGTGTGTGTGTGTGTGCGTATTACTTGTGTAAGCTGAAAGTTGCGAAAAATGATTGAAATATCTATTGCTCCAAGGGTTCAGGGGATCTCGTAGTCGAGCAGTCTCGACTAGAGCTTTCTTACTTGTTAATTACAGCCTTTCAAGAGCTCGGCGCGTTGTTGAAAATACTTTTGGCATTTTGGCCAACAGATTTCGAATTTCGATTTTTAATAATGAAGGAGCAGTGTCTTGGCAAAAGGATCGACTTTAAATTCGATATTAATCTCTGGACATTTTATAATAGATAATAATTATATTCAACATTACTTACCGTTGCTTTTGCAACTTCTATGAAGCTTGAATCTTCGTCCTCAAACGTATTTATACCATCCACGAAAGATTCCTGATCTTGAAGGAACGATAGATGGTCGAAATACCATATACTTGGTCTGTATATGTCGTCAGCCCTAGCTCCAGACTTTATGCTTCTTCTTATTTTTTGCAACTCACGCCGATAGGCCGCGCGCAGAGAATTCACTTTTTTTTTACTGACTGCACCGTTGCGCTTTCATCATGCTCTTTGTATTTTCGCACAAGCGTTTCCCAAGATTTGGTTCTCTTATTCTTGTCCTTGTAACTAGCGTTTTTTTTCTGCCACAAGCATGGCTCATTTTTAAAAGATGTAATGAATTTCTTTAGAAATGCTTTATTCATTTTGCACGTGTTGATTTCACAAATATTTTTTTCAAACGACGTTCGTGCGAGCATGCCAACCGATTTGTCGAACATGTTCGCACAAACACGCGTAAAATAGAAACATTTCTATTCTTCGCGACAGTGCTGTCATAATTTTTCGAGCAAATAGAGTCCGATTGGAAAAAAAAGCTAAATTCAAGAAAAAATAAGCCAAAATAGAAGCTGGGTTTAAAAAATGAATTAAATTCATTTACGATTATTCAGCCAGATCTGACGGGAAAAAAGCTAAATGATAGCCCAGCGAAGTTCGCGAACACGGTCGACGAACAAAATGTTCGTGCGAACACCACCATCCACATGCAAACATTCGACGATCACAAAATGTTCGGCGAACATGTTCGCAAGTGGATGGGCCCCTTAAGGGCTTCCAAATACAGTAGATTATATAATGTATGTATATCTTTAATATCCGTGATTGGGTAATCGTCTATTAGTATTGTAAGAATGTTTCCTATCAAAAAACCTATTGCAAATTTTTTTTTTAAATTAAAACTCGATTTCAACAATGGCAAAGATATCGATCATCGATAAGCATATTGATATCGAATATTCAGAGCTGCCCAAAAACGATCTCTTGCGGAGGGACTAATATGTATATCTTTATTTTGTATTTTATACCTATGCACGAGTATATATTATACACACACATATTTATGTTCCTTGAAGGTACTAACTGTATGCAATGAAAAAATAGTTAATTTATTGCATATTATTGATTCGGCGGATCGGCGATCATTTGATCCATTGCCGCCAATGTAGAGAGCTGAAATCCATTTTCCACATTCTGGATCATGGTGTGCAGCGACTTAAAAGCTTCTCGGTTCTTGGTGAATTTGTGTTGATTTGAGAGTTTGTTGCGCGGTCGATGATGGTTTTCTAGCTGCTGCTTGCACTCCTCCAGAATCTGATTATCCAATTCGGTGGGCCGCTTTTCACTGGAAAGGGCAGTGCTTACTTCTTCTAGCTGAGCGGGTAGACTTGCCATACGCGCAGCGGCTATCTCAGAGCTCTTCGCTTCGAGTAGCTCGCGCAGGTCAACATTTTTGCTCAAGCTAACCAGGCTTGTGTATTCCCGCTGATATTCCCGTTTGGCTTCGACAAAATGGCGCGCATGCTCTTCGGTTTGACGGTGCATATTTTTGGCTTGCTCGGTGTAGCGCTTGAGAGATTCTAGATGCAGCAGATACTGGACATCTTCGAGGCCATTGTTTGTACTATTTTCTGTTGTCATTGTATATATGTATGTATGTAGCTTCTATTCAAAAACAAAATTAAATTTTTTATACTTTTGTGAGTGTGTTTGTATTTGAAAAGCACAACTTGCTTACTGTCGACAAACTCTCGACGTTATCGATAGGCAGTTAGGTATCGTATTAAACTGTCAATGCTGTTCTATTTGAGTATTCAAAAATATAATACTATGATAATATGACAAAATATTTGTATTATCTTGTCCATATAAATGAGCATGGCAAATATGAATACATTCAATAAATTGAAATTGAATATTAAAATACATACATATATGCACGGTATTCACTAACTATAACTAAATAATGAATAATAATGTTAATGATTAAACAATTTTAGATACAAACATTTTTTTATTATTCTTGTTTTATACATATATAGTTTTTTAATCTTTCAGATAAGTTTTTCAAGCTCCAGCCGTGTCCTCTGCCACATATCGATAGCTAATCTATCGCTAAATTGTCTGCCCGATAGTTGATAGGTGCTGCCAGACAACAGTCAAACACGTGTTGCCGGCTCATTGTATAAACACAAAGCACGGAATTCTAGGAGCTATTAATTCTGCTTAAATATTCAGAAGAAATAGAAGTGAATAATAGCAGATACTAGCTCAATGGCGCGTGGCAAGAAACAGAATCCATTTGCAGCTAGAAAACGACAAAAGCGTGCAAATGTAAGCAATTATTTAAGTAAAGCTGTAAGACGAACTTGTTGAATACATTTTCTTTCTTCTTTTTGTTTTCGTCACCTCGAAGGGAGCTCCGGAGCGACCGGATCGACGTGCCGAGCCCTACAAGGAAATCGAGCGTGACAATGCAGCCTTCATTAAGTACTATCACCTGCAGAATATCTGTGCCGACGAGGAGGAATGGACACAATTCTTGGCCAGCATTCGGGAAAATCTGCCCACCACATTTCGTGTAACCGGCTTCAAGGATGAAGCCAAGGCGTTGTTGAACATAATTAAGACGCAGCTCTTCACCGAGTACGTGCGCGCTGTGGCCGAACTGCACGAGCTGCCCGCCGAGCAGGTGGAGCGCCCCCTCTGCCTGCCCTGGTATCCAAACGGAATGGCCTATCAGCTGCACTTGACTCGGAAGGACATTCGCCGCTCGGAGCCGCTGTTTCGGCTGCACAACTTTCTCATTGTGGAGACAACGGCGGGTAGCATAAGTCGCCAGGAAGCGGTGTCCATGATTCCGCCCCTGGTGCTCGACGTTCAACCAACGGACAAGGTGCTGGACATGTGCGCCGCGCCTGGCTCAAAGACGGCACAGCTCATCGAAGCCCTACACGCGTCGCCGGAGCAGCACAAAATTCCTCCCGGATTCGTGCTGGCCAACGATGTGGACAACAATCGCTGCTATATGCTGGTCCACCAGGCCAAACGCCTGAATTCCCCCTGTCTGCTGGTGACCAACCACGACAGCAGCTTCTTTCCCAATCTGCTGCAAACGGATGTAGCCACCAACGCCAAGACCATCCTGAAGTTTGATAAGATCCTGTGTGACGTGCCCTGCTCCGGCGATGGCACGCTGCGGAAGAATCCGGATATCTGGATGAAGTGGAACCTGGCTCAGGCCTACAATCTGCATGGCGTTCAGTATAGAATTGTGCGCCGAGGCGCCGAGATGCTGGCCGTCGGTGGACGCTTGGTGTATTCCACTTGCTCGCTGAATCCCATAGAGAATGAGGCGGTGCTGCAGCGTATCATTAAGGATTCGGAGGGAGCTTTGGAGCTGGTGGATGCCTCGCATCTGGTGCCGGGTCTCAAATATAAGCCGGGCATGACCGACTGGAAGCTGGCCACCAAGGAGGTGGACGCCATCTACACTTCCTTTGACCAGGTGCCCGAGCAGCTGCACACAATCATACGGCCGACGATGTTTCCCCTGCCCGCCGCGGAGATGTCCCAAATCGGCATAGAGAAGTGCATGCGGGTACTGCCCCACTTGCAGGACAGTGGCGGCTTTTTTGTGGCCGTTATCGAGAAGCGGCGTCCGCTGAACTTCGAGAAGAATGACCTAGAGGATTTGCTTAAGAAGGCTGAACTGCTGGATAAACCAGAGCAGCCGGAGGCTCAGCTCGACGAGTCGGGCAAGCCGGTGGAAGACGAGAAGTCTGTGCCATGGGGACCACAACGGAAGCGCCGACGCCTCCATGGCTACAAAGAGGATCCGTATGTGTTCTTTGACGAGGATGATGCTGACTATGAGAGCATACGGCAGTTCTACCAGCTGAATGAGACGCTCAACAAGCGCTGCCTGCTCACTCGCTGCAAGACGGAGCGCAAGAAGAACATCTACTACTGCTCCGACCCCATAAGGGATCTGGTGATCAATAACGAGAGCAACATCAAGATCATCAATACGGGCGTGAAGACGTTTGTGCGCTGCGAGAATCGCCATACAGTGCATCCGTATCGCCTGGCCCAGGAGGGTCTGCAGACGTCGAATGCCTTCATTGGCAGCAGTAGGCGCATCCAGGTGGAGCGCGAGGATCTAATCCTGCTGCTGAACTGCACGGATCCAACGAAGCCGCCGTCGACGCTTGAGCTGAAGCCAGAGACGCAGCAGCGTTGCAAAGAGCTAGGTAAGTAAATTAGTTTCATATTTTATGTGAGGCCATTCCTCTCATGCTTCTTACTCTTTGCTTTGCAGGCGTGGGCAGCTGCATCCTGAAATACGTGGACGAAGCGTTTACACTGTTCATTGTGGGCTGGCGCGGCACTTCCAGCCTGCGCGCCTATGTCGATCGTGACGAGACGATTCACATTCTGCGCCTTCTGGGCGCCGACCTCAGCAAATTTGAGGTCAACAAATACGAGAAGGCGAAGGAGGCCGCCGCTGCCGCGGCTGCTGCAGCAGCGGCTGCGGGCAATGCTGCCGAGCAGAAGAATGACGAGGCGGAAGAAGTGATGGAGAGCTCAGAAAAGGAGTAGCATATACACATATTGTAATTAAATATAACAATTTGACAAAATTAAACATCGAGTTTGAATAATGAAACTCCGTCAATTACCCAATTCAAATGTCGTTTGATGTGTGCTGAAATTATGCGCTTTCTTGGCTAATAATGCATGGTTACACTGTACGTTTAGCGGGCTAATGAAATGAACTGAAGCGACTGATGAATAATAAATAAAGTACAATTTTGAAAAGTAGTTAATTAATAATATATTTTCGTGTGACGACGCACTGTTCATTCAAGTTTATTGTAGCTTACCGTATTGCTTTGAAATTTTGCGAATTTGAGCTTTTTATTGCATGGTCACACTTTTCATAAAATGGCGTTGGATGAGTTTGCGGGCCGAAACAAATGCGTGCTTTTCTTGTTGCGTGCCGCGTAATTGTACAAACATTCGAATTTAAGTGGTTATAAAAATCTATATGTGTACATAAATATATGTGTATCCATATATAGTTTTGACTTAAGTGTGTACTAGCAAAATAGTTATAGTTAAACACTCAAATCAACAGCTAACATTCGCAAACATTCAGGTTCAAGGCAACGGTAAATATAAAAATACATACATTTGTATGAACATTGCGCTGCTTTAAATATATATGCTTAGGAACTTAAAAGCACTAAATGAGTAAATATATTCATTCATTTTTCAAGAAACAACAAATAAACATTAATTTTGTTATAGCGCGGCTTCTAGTATTTCTAATGCCAAGAATATGCCTGTAGATCGTGTGAATTCTAACGATATTTTTAAAGTGCTGCCATTCGCCCCGCGAGTAGTTGGTATATATCGATAAGAAACAATCGCAGGTACTAGAAATGGACTTTCGAAAAATCATTGAAAGTCGAAATATCGAATCAATTGTTAGCGGTACATTGTAAAACCCCGTTATTCTATCAATGGGAAGTAGTAAGTACACTCTTATATTTACTTCTGTAGGTTTTATTAGAAGTAATTTTGAATTTACATTTGTACATAAAAGCAGTCTCTTGATTTATTTATCCAAACCGGGTATCCATTTCTGATTACTTGACTCACTTTATAAGCGATGTGTTTCTTGTGGCACATTGCTTTAGGCGTCTTGTTCGGTAACTCAATGATGTTTTCTGTTCTTGAGTCAGTGGGTGGTGTTGATGTCAGAGAGAGGAGAGCCGATTTGGGTTATTTGTACTTCCACTACGAGCCCCAACCACTAATAATTTGTAACAGCATGTTTTATTTGCAGTGCGTAATGTTCAACACACTATATTATCAATAGTTTTAAAGATGACGAATACCAATGAATTTTGTCTTAACGATCAAACAAAAATTATGTTCTATGTATTGATAATATAGCGTGTTGAACATTGCGCACTGCAAAAAGAAACATGCTGTTTGAATTATTAGTGGTTGAGGCTCCTACACGATTTTGTCAATTACTTTGGGGTGGTAGAGCAGGTTATTTTTTATTAGTTGGCTCCGAGCTGGCGGCTAGTACGTTATCACTTACCATTGAAGCGGTGGGCATCTGCAGCACTGATGGAATCGCTGCTAGAAGCTGATCCATTGATGGTTGTTTCTACTGGGGTAAGGTGTGCGGCTTTGCATTAGTTCCTTCCACAGATAGACAATTTGATACTCGTCTTTTTTTAGATGCAATAGGCTGTTCAATTGGGAGATCGGGAGCTGGTTGTGGTCCAGTTGGGAATTGCTCGGAAGCTCGTTGTGGTCCAGTTGGGAATATATTGGAAGCTGGTTGTGGATACGATTCCTGAACTAATGTATTAGTTTCTGTGGGGTTCTGGCGGTTTGATGCTCGCCTCTTCTTAGGTATAGTAGGTAAGATAGGCTGTCCAGCCGTAGCTGGAGTCGATTGCTGGGGTAGTGTACTACGTCCATTGGGCTCCATTGGCATAGCTTGTCCCGGGAGTATTGTATTAGCTCCCGGTGCAACTACACGTGCTGGTGGCCAGCTTCCCTTGGGTACAGTCGACAATGGCTCTGTTGGTGGGAAAGATGGTATTGTGTTAGGGCTTGTCATAGCTTGGTGCATTGTTTTTCGTCTCTGATACCTGCAGAAGGCCGTCCAGTTGGGACTGGACATGGAGCTGTTGGTATTTGTGATGTGGGCTGCCGCTCAGATGACTCAGTTGATTTGACTGGCTTAAGGCGTTTGGAGTCCACGTCAGTCACACGTTTTAGAATATCTTTTATGCTGTCATCTGCACAGGTTGTCATCGGATTGACCGACGGCTTGGGAATGAATGTTTCCGGAGGTACCATTTTTGCCTTGGGAGGCCTGCCTCGCTTTTTAGGAGAAGCCTTCGGCTTTGGCGACTTCTTAGGAGCTCTTCTGACGTAAGGTCGCTTCGTCTTAGGCGGCGCGTCACTTGCTGAAGCATCCGGAGCCTGAGGAGGCTTGACAGCCGCCGGATTTCGTTTGGTGTACTTGCGCTTTGGCTTAACTGCTGGTACGCTATTCTCTCCAGGTGGCATAGGTGTTGCCAGTGTAGTTGACACAGGTGTTGCTAGAGTAGATGGCACAGTTGGGGTGTCTGCTGCCGCCGAATTAAAGGGCGTAGCAGGCAAGCCAGAAAGCAATGAACTATGTAAGGATGGGGCTACAGGCAGCGCCAACCCAATATCAAGCGGTGGAGCGGCTGCTGCACCAGTTACAGCAGGAGTAGGTGTAGGCTCAACCTTCTTCTTCCGCGGTCCATATGGCTTGCGAGGTTTGCGCGGCTTAACCTCCAATGGAATCATATTTTCATCTTCGATGATTGTTGGATCCGGCTTCGGAGCCGGTGTCTTCGTTGCGCGTGGTTTAAGAGGGGCCTTGCGGACGTATTTGCGCTTTACGCGTGGTGGCTCTTCGTTCGGTTTCTTATCGTTGGCCTCAGTTCCGGCACCTGTTCCAGCACCTGTTCCAGCACCTGATCCGGCACCTGTCGTGACACCTGTTCCAGCACCTGATCCGGCACCTGTCGTGACACCTGTTCCAGCACCTGTTCCAGCACCTGATCCGGCACCTGTCGTGACACCTGTTCCGGTCCCTGTTCTGGCCCCTGTTCCGGCCTCTGTTCCGACCTCTGTTCCGACCTCTGTTCCGACCCCTGTTCCGACCCCTGTTCCGACCCCTGTTCCGACCCCTGTTCCGACCCCTGTTCCGGCCCCTGTTCCGACCCCTGTTCCGACCCCTGTTCCGACCCTTATTTCAGCCCCTGTTCCGGCTCCAGTTTCGCTATCTGTGTCGCTCTCTGATTTACTGTCTGATTCGCTCTCTGATGTACTCTCTGATTCGCTCTTTGACTCGCTCTCTGATTCGCTCTTTGATTCGCTGTCTGATTCACTCTTTGATTCGCTCTCTGATTCGCTCTTTGATTCGCTTTCTGATTCACTCTTTGATTCACTTTTTGATTCACTCTCTGATTCGCTATCTGATTCGGACTTTGATTCGGACCCTGAAGTGTCCGCTGCCTGGGCCGCTACCTTGGCTATCTTGACCGCTAACTTGGCCGCTCGCTTGGCCGCTGCCTCGGCCGCTGCCTGGGCGGCCGCTGCCTTGGCCGCTGCCTCGGTTGCTACCTTGGCCGCGGCCTCGGCTGCTGCTTGGGCGGCCGCTGCTTCGGCGACTGCCTTAGCCGATGAGTTTCCCGCTGCCTTGGTCGCCGACTTTGAATAGCGGCTCTTTGGCTTGACTGAGGGATCGCCCTGCGGATTCGTAGCATTATTGGCGGCAGGTGTTGGTTGACTGTCCGTGTTTTTAGCACTGCCTGGAGCACGTCGCTTCTTGCGTGCCGGATCACAGCCTTGCGGAACCGTCTCACACGGACACTGCAGCGGAACACGAACATTATCGTATTTCGCGAGAATATCGAGCACCGCCTGGCTGGATGTGCTCTTGACTATTTCCTCTCCCCTAGGAAACTTTGTCTTGGTTGACAAGCAGGAATGCTTCTCTATGATAGGCGCCGGCGGCCTCTGGTGATCGGACGTGCGATCACTTGGCTGCGCCGGGGGCTGCAAAACGGAATGAAATTTGTGCAAAGAATTATGTTACTAAACTAGACTCACGATTGGGTTCAGGTACTGCTTGTACTGTTCCCGCAACCTATCTGTCCGCATCTTGCTTTCTTTCAAAAACTTCTGGTATTCTTGGTCATTTTCCACGCCAGAATTTTTGACTTTCATTTTTTCATTGAATTTGCTCATTTTTATTAAAGTTAAATTTTCTATTAATTTATTTTTTTTTTTTTTTTTTTTTTTTTTATACTAATATTATATGATTATCAGATTTGATATTCTATTATTTTACGCGATTTTCGGTTGTTATATTTTCTTTGTATTATATATTATTTTTTTCTGAATTCGAAATTTTCACTTATTTTTTGCCTTTTTGAATGTTATTTTATTTTTTGTTTTTACAAATTTATTTTAGATATTTTTACGACTATTCCGGAGCGCAGTAATTTTAGCACTGAAGGTTGAGCAGTCTGAACATAACACAAGTTCATCCGAGTTTTTCAAGGCCTTCTTGGTTTTCTGTTTTTCATAAATTTGTAAAAAAAAGGTGAATAAAATTTTCTACTCATCAATTGCGTTTGAGCTAGACGTCAGATAAACGTCATATTCGAAAAGAGGATAAGCTATATGGAAAGTCCAAAATCGATAGATAGTTAGACGGAGAGAAAGGATTCTAAGTTGATCATCAACTCTTATAGACTAGCAAGTTAATCTGTAATCTCTTAATGGACTATAGGCTACAAAATCTATAGCTCTATATAGATCGAGTTCCTTGAGGATCGACTTAGGTCGCTGCTATTGTACACTTTGACTTAAATGAAATTATTGAAATAAGAAAACATTTTGTTTTTGTTATAAAATGTTACATTTATATTTTTTTGTTTTTGCATTATTATTATTATTTAGTTTTTTCCCAGTATAAATATATCGTATATAAAGTATATAAAAAAAAGTTCATTAAAAAATTACACATACTCTTTATGTTGTTGTTGTTGGTGTTTCTTTCTTTTTTTTTTTTTTTTTTTTTTGCGCTTACAAATTGTATCTCATTTTTGCTTTAGTAAATTTCGTTTGTTTTTCTCTGTCTTTTAAAAAGTACATAGAATATATAAAATGGGGTTGAGGGGGTGTGGCATATATCAGTATATTGCTTGCTTGCTTTTTTTTCTTATTATTGATTAAGAGTGAAATTTTATTATTATAATAGGAATGAGCTTATTTGCAATGTATTTGACAAGAAATGGAAAAAATGCAATAAAAAAACAATAAAAAACAACTTTTGTTGTTGCTTGGATGGCGGCTGTTTGCAGTCGTTGTTGCTTCACTTTAAACAAACATAAAAATTACTAAAATATGATTAAAAAAAAAAAAAAAAAAAAAAACAAACAATTTGTTGTTTCTGAGTGTGAGAGCGAGAGAATGCGTGTCTGTTTGCTGGTGCAAAAAAAAAAAGTTGATTTTTTTTCTCTGTTGCTGAATTTAAGCCTTCTTCTCGGCCTCGATAACCTCCTTGGTTGGCAGCACGTTCTTCTCGTTAGTTTCGGTGTGCTTCAATTTTTTCGCATCGAAGTTCTCAATGCCGGCGATAAATTGATTCTTCTCCTTCTCCAGTTCAATTGCTAAAGATAGAGATAGAAATAGTTGGTTAAATTGTTCACATTTTAGTTGCAATTGCCTTAAATGGCCAACAGCTGGTTTTGCCAGTTGTCTCTCCCTCTCCCTCTGCCTCTGCCTCTACGCACCTTCCTTATCGGGCAATGGATTCTTCTCATTGGTCTCTGTATGCTTCAAATTGTTTTGATCGAATGCCGTGATGCCCTCGAATATGGACTTTTGGGTCTTCTCGGCAGCCACATCTGCAGCAAAAATGTTTATTGTTAATTATTAGTAAGAATAGGAACAACAATCAAGACTTACCCTCGGCAGTTGGCAAAATGATTTTCTCCTGGGTGCTGGCATTCTTCAGCTTCTCCGTATTGAAGCCCTCCAATTGGCTCTTCAGGTTCTCGGCCACCTTTGGCAAGTCCTTGAGTGCTGGTGCTGGGGCAGCCATCTGAAATTATACATGTTCATAAAAACGTTATTTCTTATCTGCAGAAGGCGCATAACATCGATAGCTGCCAGAGGGGTGAGTGACACATCGCTAGCGGTTCGATAAAGCGGAAATGCACATCGATAACAAAGCCTGCAGCGCATACTCACGCACCAATAATAAATGTACATAATGTATAAGTGTGTGTGTGTGTGTGCCTTTGAGTTTGTTTTGAGAAACTCCGTTGTTTACCGTTGGGTTTATTATGCGATTACGCTGAATAGCACTTTATTGATTAACAAAAGTAACAACCCATACTCATACGAATTTGTCATGCCCGCTAATGAGTCATGCTGGACAGCAAGGACGCTATACCCATACCGCTAAAATAGACATCTGTGTGCGTGCGTTTACTATCGAAGCACCAGCAGCAATACAAGCGATATGGAGAGAGAGAGAGAGAGAGAGAGCGGAAAAATGAGCGTGAGCAAGAAGTTCAGCGAACCTACCGCAGCAGCAACAGCAGCAGATTAAATTCCAATTGGACAAGCAACTGGAGGCGAGTGTACCGTTATCAGTGCTTGTTTTGTTAGTCGGCGCGTTCGCTCAGCTGCTAGCAAAATAACTGAACTGCATTTTATCACGTTTATTTTTAGTTGCAAATCAACCAAAATGTGCCCAGCTAAACATTGTCCATTGTTCATGCCCGTATTCTAGTTAATCAACAAAATTATACAGACATACATACATATGTATGTATGTATGTAAATGTCTGTATGAGTGTGTGTATGTGTTGTGTACATATCACACATTAAGCAAAAAAGTGTTCATGCTTCATAAGAAATAGATCGATCGCAACGTTGCCAAAGTCGGTTGTATTTAATTTCAACACCCCACAAAAGCACACAATCTGCCCCATCTGCCTTCTCGCTCACACTTTAACCAATTTTGTTTGCGCACATACATATAAAGAAAGCGCTTCATTAATATCGATAACAAGTGCATACATATGCAATGCAATGCATGTGCATGTGTATGTGTGTGCATATGTATCTGAATTGCACAAGTAAGCGTTACAAGGGCGGCAACCGCGCCAAAATAGAAAAGTATATATAGAAATAAATCTACGCTTAATAGTCGTCTGTGTTTTTATTGACCATATATGGACATATTAAGGCGCGCCTAAACGCAATTCGCCCCTGGCCGATAGACGCTGATTGACTAACGGCTGTCGGCCGTCGCAGCGTTTAGTCATTCCCAGCAGCAGCAACTCCTTTTTAAAGCAAAAACAAACAAAGGCGAATATTGCAACTCTCTCGCATACACATGCACACACACATGTATACACGTACGTTTATGTACATATACGGCGAATTATGTTGTTTTTGTTGCGCTTTATTTTTGTGGGTTTTTGGGGGGAGTAAGTTTGCATGTTCTCGCCTTGTTTGCCATGAATCAACTTCCAACTTGAAGCGAATAATGGTTTGCGATGAATCATTTTATTCGTCGTCGTCGTTGTCGAAGTCGCCGTCGCCGTTGCCTTTGTTGCTTTTGTCTCAGCCCACACTTGACGCACGCTCTCTCTTGTGGCGGCGAATGGGGAGAGTTATTCAAACCTCGCTTCAGTTGGAAGTGTCTTTTGTTTTGTTAATTTTTATATCTTGTTTTCGGGGTTTATGGTGCTGTGTGCGCTGATTGGAGCGGATGAGCAGATGTCTCTGGAAGTGTGGGGGTCATTTGGCCGGCGCCAGCTAACCGCCAATTCGCCGTTAGGCCAATTTTGATATTTGAAAGCATCGTCGAAAAAAAAAACGCCGCTCGAGTATTAAAGCCGGCGGCGTCGATGTCGCTGATGCGTGGCGGCGGAGGCGGCGTTATATACATACATACATATGTACATGTGTATATATGTATGAACAGTCAGTGAGGCGAAAGCAGAAAATGTAAAAGAACAAAAGAAGGAAGGCAAATGACAGACACGTCCGTTTTACACCCTCGCCTTAGTCAGCAGACAGCCTGCGCTGGCTCCTGTTATGCCCACACATACACACGCACATGCAGTGCACGTCTGTCAGTTGGTACATAAATTTCAATATGTGCGTTTCAGTGTATATGTGTACATATGCGCTCGCGACATTAAGTGAATTTTAAATATGCATAGCAGCACCGCAGTTTAGTCATTCGCTGTATGAATGTATGACTGCGTGTGTATATGTGTGTACATGTGTTGCCTTGTGTTATTTCATTTTAAATACATTTTGCATTTCTTCTTTTTTGCTTTAGCGATAAATTAAACGTCAATTAAGTATTATCGATAGCATCATACGTGCGCCACGCCCTCGCTCAAGATAAATTTGCGACGAGCAACACATACATACACAGGCTCGCATACAAATTTTAAGCAGGGAATGCAGCTTAAATGCACAGCTGCAGACTTACACATATACATGTACACATATACATGCAATGTGTATAGATTTACATTCGTATGTATGGGTGTGCTTTTGTGCGTGTATGTGAGCACGCGCAAGCCGCAAGCACATATTGTGGGGAGGATATTTAACAGCGTCAAACGCCCCGCCCAAGCAGCAGCCGTTGCAGACATACACACACACACATATACAGAGACTCAGACTCACACGCACATAGATACACAGGCAAACATAAAACAGACGCCAAAAAACGAAAAAGCCGGCCGGCAAAGCTCTGACATACCAAAAAAAAAAAAAAGAAACTAGCGAAAAAATAACAAAGAAGCTTAAGGCCGTCGACTTAACAGCTGCTCAAATAGATTGGTAAAAATGTTGAGCAAAAAAATAAAGAACTAACGGAGTGGCCACCGTCGCAATAAATAATTTATAACAAATGTTAAAGAGGAGCTCAGCTCTCCTCCCGTGTCTCGCCTCTGGCTCTACCCCTCCCGCATACACTAGCTGAACATTTGCAATGAATGGAAATGGGAATGCTGGAAGCGCAGCCACAACAAATACAGCAGCCGCAACAACAAGACAAGGCAAGAGAGACGCAAGAACAGCGCCGCAAACAAAAACCAGTTGGTGTTGGCTGGCTTTTGCAGCAGCAGCAACAGCAGAAACATCAGCTTTAGGTTTTTTTATTCGCATACTTTTTTCTTTTGGCCCCCTACTTTCTGCAATAATGAAAAAATACGAAACGTAGCCAATGG